GAAGGAGGAAGGAGGAGGAAGGAGGTAGGAGGATATGAGGGAAGGAGGAAGGAGGACAGGTAGCCTGGTGTGAAAGGAAGGAGGAGAAGGTAAGGAGGATGAGGAAGGAGGAAGAGGAAGGAGGAAGAGGAAGGAGGGTAAGGAGGAAGGTGGAAGGAGGAAGGAGAAGGAGGAAGGAGGAAGGAGGAGAGGAGGATGGAGGAAGGAGGGAAGAGGAAGGAGGAAGGGATGGATGAAGGAGTATGGAGAAGGAGGAAGGTATGGAAGGAGGAGGAGGAAGAAGGAAGATGAAGGAGGAAGGAGGAAGGAGGAAGGAGGAAGTAGGAATGGAGGAAGGAGGAAGGAGGTAAGGAGGAAGGAGGAAGGGAGGAAGGAGGACGGAGGAAGGAGGGAAGGAGGAAGGATGAGGAGGAAGGACTAGGAAGGAGGAAGGAGGAAGGAGGAAGGAGGAAGGAGGGAAGGAGGGAAGGAGGAAGGAGGAAGGAGAAGAGAGGAAGGATGGAGGAGGGAAGGGGAGAAAGGGGAGGAAGGAGGAGGAAGGAGGAGGAAGGAGGAGGGAAGGCGGAGGAAGGAGGAGGAAGGAGGAGGAGGAGGAGGAGGAGGAGGAGGAGGAGGAGGAGGATGGTCGTCATTTTCTGCGACGGTGTATCTTGGTTGCCGTCATGCCGGTTCTCAGGGGGCCAGGTTCGCGGGCTGACGCCCGAGCTGCGAGGCCTCCGGGCATCTTCGCGGGTTCTTTTGGGGGCCTTCTCGCCTCGGGGTGTTCCCCGGTGGCTGCGCCACGACGAAGGCGTGCCTGGTCAGAGCGGGACCCCTATGAGAGGACCAGGGAGGAGCAGTATCGGTCCCCCGACAGGCGAGTTCAGAGATAGTACGGTCGCCTTGGGTATACACGCTGCCATACAGTTGCCCCTCCAGCACGAGTCCCATGCCATAGTAGTCGAGCGGAGGTGAGCGATAATGTTCAGCTTGATCTTCGAATCGATCGCCATTGTCATCATCGTCATCATCATAGTCATCATGAGCAGCATCATCGTGTTCATGTTCTCGTGCTCTTCTTTCTCACTGAGGTCCGCTTCTTCTCACCTCCTCCCACTCCTCTTCCTTAGTATCGTATTCCTTCTGTCCCGTAGGATGCACCTCCTAGGAGATCGAATCCAGCATCGATGCTGGTATATCCGCTCTCGACAACCAGCCTCGATCTCGTTTCATTCTGCCTAATCCGGTTGAGTCCAGCTTCTATCCTGGCTATTATTATGTAGGGGTTCATGTGGGTTGATCGGTTTGTAATGGTTTTGAAATCGGGCCTTTGAGTTATGAACCGTGCTAGTGAATCACCGAGCGCGTTCTATCACTCGCAAAAAAACGTTCGAAAAACGAGCGTCTGCCTCGGTGTACTGAGTCGCAAATCCCCCTCGGCGGATCCAGGCCATTTGCGATTACTCACTCTGCGAGTAGTGGAGCGCGCCTGCTTTCGGTGAAGGTTGTACACCGCACCCTCCGGCCGCCTGAGGCCCCGCCCGCCCGCGCCCTGTCTTCCCAGTTAGAGCTTCGCGCGCCCCGCCCAGCTCTTAACCGGAAGAGGCCCGCTCTCGACCCGCCGACCAAAAAGTTGTTAGTGAGGGTCTCCCGGGAGCTGCCTCCCACCCCACTTTTTCTCACCACCCACCAAACCACCCCAACCCAACCCGAAGGCTCAGATTTACCCTCTATTTCCATTGGGGGGGGGTCGGGAAACGTCGAAAAAACACATGTGGAACCCTTACCCCCCCCAACCCGAAATTCGGGTCTTCGGGTTGGGTTGGGGTGGTCTGGGAGGTAGTCATTTTCTGCTGGTCCCCATCCATACCCCGTGTCGGTTCGAGCACTTCTCTCCGCACGGGCGCGGGCGGCGCTCCGGATGCGATGGCCGTGCTCAGCGGGAGGCCCGGTGGCTGATCCTCTGCGAGCGCGATCGGCGTCGTCAGGCGAGGAGGAGTCGGCTCCGAGGGTCTTTGGTGCTGACGGGGGCCTCCTAAGCTCTTGGCTGACAATTGAATTCGTCCTTCCCCTCCTCGTCTTTCCCCTCCTCGTCATCACCATCATCATTCTCACCATAAGAACGATAGTAGTACAAGCGGTGGTAATAATAAGAATAGTCAAAGTATCTAAAACTAATATTACTCATCATCATCGTCATCATCAGCATCATCTTCATCATCGTCATCACCACCAACATGACTTCCACCACCATCATCATAATGGTCATCATCATTATCATCATGATCATCATCATCGTCATCCTGCTCATTAGCATAATCACCATCATCAGCAGCATCATCATCACCTGCATCATCACCACTATCATGATCTGCAGCAGCAGCAGCATCATCGTTATCGCCATCGCCATCGCCATCGCCATCATCCCCAGGGATCCTCTTCCTCCCGAACATCAGATCATCAGTGGTGGCCGTCGCCGAGGAGTAATTCCCGACCCTCCTGCGTTTGATGCTCCTTTTTAATGAAGGACTGCGGTCGTACACCTTCTCCCTTTCCTCATCCCTCCTCGTGCCTCCTCCTGCTTCTCCAGCCTCCTCCTGCGCTGCTTCCCAGATGTCTGCGAATTGTACACTTGCCGCCACTTACGTTGTCACCTGTGAGTCGGGGAGTGAACGGACATCAGAGACCTCGCAGCTCCCTGGGGGGCTACGAACTGTGCAACCGTCCCCACTTTCGCGGGCTCCTGGGAGGCACGGCGGAGTCGGGGAGTAAGTCGACCCAGCCGGGACCTCGCAGCTCCCTGGGAGGCTGCGAAGTGTGCAGTTGTTGCCCTTCTTGTGGGCTCCTGAGAGGCACGGCGGAGTCGGGGAGTAAACTGACTATCTGAGACCTAGCAGCTCCCTGGGTGGCTGCGTAGTGTGCAATTGTCCACGCTTCTCGTGGGTTCCTGGGAGGCACGTCGGCGCCAGGGAGTGAACGGACCATTTGAGACCTCGCAGCTTCCTGGGTGGTTGCGAGCTGTGCAACCGTCGCCACTTTCCTGGGCTCCTGGGCGGCACGGCGGAGTCGGGGAATAAACGGACCCAGCCGGGATCTCGCAGCTCTTTTGTGAGCTGCGAGTTGTGCAATTGTCGCTGCTTCCGTGGGCTCCTGGGAGGCACGGTGGAGTCGGGGAGTAAATTGACTATTTGAGACCTCGCAGCTCATTGGGTGGCTGTGAAGTGTGCAACCGTTGCCACCTTCGTGGGCTCCTGGGCGGCACGGCGGAGTCGAGGAGTAAACGGACCCAGCCTGGACCTCGCAGCTCTTTTGGGGGCTGCGAGTTGCGCAATTGTCGCCGCTTCCGTGGGCTCCTGGGAGGCACGGTGGAGTCGGGGAGTAAACGGATCCAGCCGAGACCTCGCAGTTCCTTGGGGGGTTGCGAGCGACTTGCGCAGGGGTTGCCACTTTCGTGGGCTCCAGAGAGGCACGGCGGAGTAGCGGAGTACGCGGACCCAACCGCGAGCTGCGCAGCTGCGCAGCTGTCGTCATTGTCTTGTGCTCCTCAGAGGCACGGCGGAGTTGGGGGCCACGCGCACCCACTTGAAACCCCGCCCTGGGGGGATGTGAACTGCGCAATTGGCGCCAGATTCGTGGGCTTATGAGCGGTCCAGCGGAGCCGGGGGCCACGCGCACCCAGACGAGAGTTCGCTGCTCCTTGAGTGCCTGCGAACTTCGCAACTGTCACTCCTTTCGTGGGCTCCTGGGATGTCCAGCGGAGTTGGAGGCCACGCGCACTCCTATGAGACCTCGCTGATCCTCGGAATTCTCCGAGATGCGCAACTTTCACCACTTTCGTTGGCTCCTGGGAGGTCAGCGGAGTCGGGGAGCACGGGTCCAGCCTGGGAACCCGCAGCTCGTGGGGCGGCTATGAGGTGCGCAATTTTTCAGCTATTTTCGCAGGCTCGTGGGAGGCACGGCGGATGAGTTGGTAGCGCAGATCGTGCATATCATGCGATCTGTCGCGCGTGGAGAAGGGGTTGGGTGCGCCTCGGGTCATTGCTGGGGGGCCCCCATCCGTCAGCAAGCACGCGTAAACAAAGGTTCCCGTTGTCTCTGGGGTTAGGGGACACCTGGGCAGAAGACGTGGAGAGGGCTTTGGTGCCCTCTGGGCCATAACGCTTGTTATGCCCCCTACCCTCCCCCCTGCTTTCCCCCCGCTTAGCGTAACGCTTCCCCCCTCAGTGCGTCCCCTGCACTGCCGCAGTGCGTCCGGCACCACAGGGGTTGGGGGTGCTACGTTCTGCCCCCTCCCGTCCCCCCCCCATCCCTCCCCCGTAACGCCCGTCCTGGCCGTGAATACAAGGGAAAATGAGCTCGTGTGCCCCGGGATCGGACGGAGAATGATCTCGGAGCCTTCCGGCCGGCACAGCTCCGGGAGGAGTGGTCCTCCTCCGCGCGCGTGCCGCGTATAGTGTCGACGTCGACGTCGATGCGGCAGGCGACGCCCTGCGGCAGGCTGACGTGCTATCCTCCTGCGCGGCAGGCCTAAGGGCGCGCGTCGCGTCGCGTCGACGCGGCGGCTAAACGCCCCGCCCGCGGGCGCGGAAGGCCGAACGCCGCCGGCGGCCCGGAGTCGGCCGATGTGGAACGCGTCAAGTCGGCCGCGAGCGAGGTTCGAGCGTCGTGGCTCGAGGTTCCCTGTTTCTCTCCCGCTCGCTTCTGCTGTTGTGCTCTCGCTCTCTCTCTCTCTCTCTCTCTTTCTCTCTCTCTCTCTCGCTCTCTTTTTCCATTCCTGCTCTTCCTGATCCTTCCCCCTCGTCCATCCTTCAGTCCTGTCCCCTTTCCCACGGCCCCCTTCCTACATCCTCTTATCTGCCTGCTTCTTCTCCGCACCCTTGGACCAAACCCCCTCGCCACCCTCAGCTAATTACCTCTTTGCCCGTTTGTTCGACGTGCGGTCTGACCTCGAAAGGCGGCGTCATGCGCTCACTTGTAGCACGTCGACGCCCCTTGCACCAGAGTGAGGCGGGGCAACCAAGGCGACAAGGGGGCGCACTGCTCTGTGGCGGAGTGCAACCAGGTCGTCATCGGAAGTGGGGCAAACGGAGCTCGCGGTCGAACGCGTAGTGCTCGCAGTTCCAGGGGCGCATATGAGCGACGAAGGAAAACGGGTTCGTCTCCACCGACACTGGCGCGTGAGCTGCCCACGCAAGGTCGCGCGTGAGCGCTCTCGTTTATAATGTGGCGTGCCGCGCCGGCGACCCGCGTGAGCCACCGCGTAAAGTCGCTCTGCCGTTTCGCGTAAGGCCCGTCTCTTTTTGTTGCCGCTCTTTTGTGTCCCCCTGGTGTCGGCCTCCCGGCTGCTCCCGTCAGGAGGGAGAACAAAGTACACAGATACAACGAGTCGTCGTCTCCCAGGAAACTTGTTGGGAAAACATGGGAAGTGGGGGGGAAGACGAAAACCCAGGAAACACTGAAACATATGGGGAATCCTGGGCCTTGTGTGTAATTCTTTGTGTGTGTGTGTCCCTTGGCCCCTGGATTCTGGTCGGTCGGCCATGGGCGTGCCTTGTGCTGTGTGGGCCCCGCTCCCGCGGGGGCGGCGCGCACGCTGGCGCACCCCTTGTGGTAATTTTGGGGCTCCGCGGCGGGCGCGCCCGGGCCGTGCAGCTGGGATGGCGGCGTGCTGTGGGGTGTCTGTGCCGAGTCTTCTGGGCTGGCGGCCGCCCTCTAAGGTGATGGGCCTGTTCTCCACCACCACCACCATAAGTGGGAGGGGAGACGGAGGAGGAGGAGGAGGAGGAGGAGGAGGTGGAGGAGGAGGACCCCCTCTCCCTCCAACTCATGGTGGTGGTGGTGGTTGGAAGCAGGCCCATCACACGGGGGACGCGCAGCACTCAGCACCCCGCAGGTGCGGTCGGAGTGAGGGAGCGGGCTGGCGGGTCGCGGGGACGACGACGACGGCCACAACAACAACAACCACGACAACATCAACAGACAGCAACAACCGAGACGGCGACGACAACAACACCAACACCAGTACCAACACCAACATCAACATCAACACCAACACCACGACCAACACCAACCCAGTCCAACAAACACCAACAACAAACACCCGCATCAACACCAACAACGATAAGACCAATGCCAACAACAACAACAACAATAAAACACACAGCAACCAGTGTAAGACTGTTCGCTCCTACCTGCTCGCATGCCACTCAACACGTATATTTCAAAACCTCGATACCCGCCTTCCCCGTTTTCGACCGTGGGGTATGTCGTTTTGTCTACCTGCTACGCGCATGTGGCGCATCCCCTAGAAAAATGGAGGAAAGGACGGATGGGAGGGAGTGGGGAAAGGATGGAACATGACAGAGATTAGCATGACGCGAAGGCCAGGAACAGAATCAGACGGGCTGATCGGGCTGGTCGACCTTACAATTTCGGGGGGGTCGGGAAGGCGGGCCAAGGCGGCCACGTCAAGGAGGCGGGTTGTTGAAGCGTGGGTACTGCAGGAATCGCGAGAAAGTTTCGAACGATTGAGCGATTCCGAAACACATCGTAAGAGACGCCAGAACGATAGCGTCGTTCTTGAGCGTTGGGGGCGCGGCGTTCGAATAATTTGCGAGTGCTTCCAACGCAAGGGCGCAATTCCTGTTTAAATGTTGAACAGGTCCCGCACGACAGCGCGATTGTGAAATTCATTGTGAGGAAAATGCTATCTCGCGAGAGCCGCTGTTGTCGTAATCAGGGAGCCACAGACCCACTGCCTTTTTGTCCCAAAAGGGTGCGAGCCCTGGGATGAGCACTGTATTGAAAACTACACTGGTCACTGGAGGGGGTCAACGGTCCTTATTGTTCAGACATGAGATTTCAACTGCAACAGTGGCAGCAGCAACCATCATTCTACCGCAATGTCCCATCATTCGACATGCACCGTGCATCCATCGTGCTAGCTCGCCTTTCTCATTGGGACTTTGCTTGCGCGGAGAGGCTGTATTCCCTTAGCCCGATGAGGCCATTGGGATTGTGTTTGCACGGGGGATTCCGCCGGATAAGGTCTTGACAGCATATTTTCCGCGGCGCCTCGACATCCCCAGCCCGGATGGCACATCGATTTGGCAATCGCCTTGCCCAGGTTTTGCTTCCAGGCATCACCGCGCCCGGGTGCCCCACAACCTTGGGGAGAGGCCCTCAACCCCTGGGAGAGCCCCCCCGGCCCCCTTGGGACAGCCTTCGGGACTTGTTGGAAAGCCCCCAAAGCCTCCCAAAAGCCTTTTGAGCGCCCGTTGGAAAAATGCGGGCCCTCGGGAGTCGTGTAGAAGCCGCTGAACTGGAGGGCTTCTGGGCCTTCTGAAGGACGTTTCAAGGCATTTTCTGGGAAGTCCTGGATCGGAGGAGCTTCTGGCCTCGGGGAGGGGGAATAAGAGGAAAAGGGGGCGGAAGGAGGAGGAGGAGGAGGAGGAGGAAAAAGGATAAGGGAACACGTGGGGGGAGGAGGGGGAGGTGGAGGAGGAGGGGGACAACGACGATGAGGACGACGGGCTATGTTCTTGATGGTCGGCATTCTGGAGGGGAGAAGCTTCAGGACTTCGAGGAGTCTTGCGTAGAAGCGGAGGATGCATCGAGCGGGAGCGGCGTTGTTTGCATGGGGCAGCCGAGGCGGGAGCGCCCGGGTTGTGTAAAAGGGCAACGCAGTAGCGAGCGGGAGTGCCAGTTTTGTTGGGCAGCTTGTTTTCGGCGGCGAGCAAGGGTCCCGGTCCCGGACAGACAGGGAGGAGTGATCGAGCAGGAACGCCGTCGTTTTCGTTCTGTGGTTGTCGCTGGTGTTGTAGCTGCAGTTGTAAGACTTGCTGTAGTGGCTGTTGTTGCGGGTGTTGCTGTTCCCCCCATCGCTCCGATGTGTTGTTTCCCCCATCGGTTCCTTTTTCGTCGAAGGTCGACTTCCTCCCGTTCACGTGCAGGCAGTGCAGCCAGGTGTTCTGCCTCAGCCACTACCGTTATGCGGACCACATGGCGGGCGCCTAGCGGCACACCCCGTGCCCCGGACCGCAGGAGGACGCGCTCATGCCAGGGACAAGGTCACAGCGGACGCCTCCTGCTGGCAGTGTTCGGCATCATGGGCAACGATTGGGGCCGGGAGCGGGCACGAGGGGGTGGATGACGAGGGCGGGGGAGTGAGGCAGGGAGGGAGGGAGGGAGGGAGGAGACAGGAGGGGGATTGAGGGGGGGAGGGAGGGAGGGAGGGAGAGGGAGGGGAGGGAGGGGAGGGAGGGAGGGGGGGAGGGAGGGAGGGAGGGGGGGAGGGAGGGAGGGAGGGGAGGGGGGAGGGGAGGGAGGGGAGGGGGGGGGAGGGAGGGAGGGAGGGAGGGGAGGGGGGAGGGGAGGGGAGGGAGGGAGGGGAGGGAGGGGAGGGAGGGAGGCGGCGCACGGGGCGCCCACGCGGCGGCGCGAGGCGCCCACGCGGCGGCAGGGCGGCGGGGAGCGGCCACGAGGCGCCCGCGCGGCGGCAGCGCGGCGACCTCTTCCGACGGGACCATGCAAGTAGGCAGTAACTGGCTAGGCCGGGGGAGTAAGAGGGCCCAGTGTTCGCACTGAGTGGGGCACGTCTAGAAGTGTGCTATGCCTACACGCCGGAATGCAGATGCAGACGCAGGCAGGAACTAGCTAGGTCGGAGGAGTGAGAGGACCTAGTGTTCGCACTGAGTGGGGCACGTCTAGAAGTGTGCTATGCCTACGCACCGGAATGTAGATGTAGACGCAGGCAGGAACTAGCCAGGTCGGGGGAGTAAGAGGACCCAGTGTTCGCACTGAGTGGGGCACGTCCAGAAGTGTGTTATGCCTACACACCGGAATGTAGATGTAGACGCAGGCAGGAACTAGCCAGGTCGGAGGAGTAAGAGGACCCAGTGTTCGCACTGAGTGGGGCACGTCTAGAAGTGTGTTATGCCTACACACCGGAATGTAGATGTAGACGCAGGCAGGAACTAGCCAGGTCGGGGGAGTAAGAGGACCCAGTGTTCGCACTGAGTGGGGCACGTCTAGAAGTGTGCTATGCCTACACGCCGGAATGCAGATGCAGACGCAGGCAGGAACTAGCTAGGTCGGAGGAGTGAGAGGACCTAGTGTTCGCACTGAGTGGGGCACGTCTAGAAGTGTGCTATGCCTACGCACCGGAATGTAGATGTAGACGCAGGCAGGAACTAGCCAGGTCGGGGGAGTAAGAGGACCCAGTGTTCGCACTGAGTGGGGCACGTCCAGAAGTGTGTTATGCCTACACACCGGAATGTAGATGTAGACGCAGGCAGGAACTAGCCAGGTCGGAGGAGTAAGAGGACCCAGTGTTCGCACTGAGTGGGGCACGTCTAGAAGTGTGTTATGCCTACACACCGGAATGTAGATGTAGACGCTGGCAGGAACTAGCCAGGTCGGGGGAGTAAGAGGACCCAGTGTTCGCACTGAGTGGGGCACGTCTAGAAGTGTGTTATGCCTACACACCGGAATGTAGATGTACACGCAGGCAGGAACTAGCTAGGTCGGAGGAGTAAGAGGACCCAGTGTTCGCACTGAGTGGGGCACGTCTAGAAGTGTGCTATGCCTACACACCGGAATGTAGATGTAGACGCGGGCAGGAACTAGCTAGGTCGGAGGAGTAAGAGGACCCAGTGTTCGCACTGAGTGGGGCACGTCTAGAAGTGTGTTATGCCTACACACCGGAATGTAGATGCACACGCAGGCAGGAACTAGCCAGGTCGGAGGAGTAAGAGGACCTAGTGTTCGCACTGAGTGGGGCATGTCTAGAAGTGTGCTATGCCTACACACAGGAATGTAGATGTACACGTAGACAGTAACTAGCCAGGTCGGAGGAGTAAGAGGACCCAGTGTTCGCACTGAGTGGGGCATGTCTATAGGTAGACTATGTCTACACACGAATGTAGATGTACACGCATCGATCGACGCATCTGCACATATACGAATTAACAGGTATTGAGATGTCGCAGTCTGTGTGGGAAACGTTTTAGTTTCGCTGTTTCGAGTGATTGGTCGGGTATGTGCAGCTGTTGGCATGGCTCACGCCCCATAGTGTGCACCTTCAGCTCGCATCGTGAAGCGTACACGACATAGTTTCCCCGTATAGCTTCAATGTTTTATATACCACGCCGCAGAGCTTACAACACATAGCTTTCACCACAGCTTTCACCTCATAGCTTCTACCGCATATATTTTGTCTCCACAGTGCAACACCGCACTGTGTGAGATCCACGCTGGCACACAAGGTCACTTACGTTGCTTTCTAGCGATGCGCATCTAGAGCTATGTATGTCTGTCCTTACCTACATCAGTGTGTACATCTGCTTGTGTTGTGCAACTGTGTAAATATAGTGAAACATATACGTATACATGCAAGTTGGAGGCCAGGGTGCCCTACGCTCTCCAGACCTGTCGCGCTCGAGCGGGCGCGGGTGGCGGAGCTGCCCCAACGCCGCCGGCATGGACAACAGGCCCGGGCCTCGGGGCTCAAGACACGGGGGTCAATGCAAACAGGGGCCAGCCAGGGCGCCAGCTCTTGCTGTATCCTGCAGAGCCAGGGGCGCTTTGACCCGGGCTTGGGCGCAGGATCTGGCAGGATCGTCCAGGATCCCGCGTGGTCCTTCGGAGGTCGATAGGCCTCCTACCCTGACACGTCGATCAGCGAGTTGGCCGTTTTCGGTTCGCGAGAGGGCGTCGCGGCCGTCACTCTTGCGGGTCCAGGTCCGTCGGCTTCGGGCCCTGGGCCGTTTTCTCGACAGGGAGGTTTACGCAAGGGAGGCGTGTCCACCGCCGAAAATCCTGCAGGGCCCGACTGAACCCCGGGCTTGCGCTGACCCGGGTCAGCTGCGTCCCCGAAGGCCTCGAGGTGTGGGCCCCGAGCCGCGGGGCCCCGGGCCGCGGGGCAGGGGCTCTGCCGGCCGAGCCCGCAGTTGTGTGTGCTGCTCGGGGCGCGCTCGCCCCCTCCTCCTCCTCCTCCTCCTCCTCCTCCTCCTCCTCCTCCTCCTCCTCCTCCTCCTCCTCCTCCTCCTCCTCCCCCTCCTACTCCTCCTCCTCCTCCTGGAGCCGCACCCGCCGCAGGGGGGGGGGAGGGAGGTCGGCAGAGCCCCCCCGGCGGCCCCGCGCCTCGGGGCCCCCGGTCTCGAAGCGTGGGCCGCTGATCGCAGGCCTGGAGGTTGACACCAACACCAAGGTCGGCGGTGTGCTTCCACCGGGGGAAGACGGTCCCGATCTCGGTGACGGAGGTGATGTCCTGGCTTCCAAGGTGACCGAACGATTGCCACCAACACCGAACTCTTAGGACCGTCTTCCCCACGTGGAGGCAACCCCCTGTGCTGGTGTTGGTGCCAATTTCCAGGCCTCCAAGTAGACGCGCTAACATTGTGTTAGTTAACGGCGATGTGCAGTGGGGGCGCGCATCAAGAAACCATGTGCTTTTCGTCAGGGCTATCCTGGGCTTCTTCGCTCCGCCCGCTGCGCGGTGACTTCCCGCAGCCGTTGAAGAAGCTGCTGCGTTCAGGGCGCTCCCGGATTCCCCTCAGGCGCACCTCGCGCGCCTTGCGAGGGTTTCTTGCGGCCGCGCCCTCACTGTAGGACAGCCAATTGTAGGAAGGCGTGGTCCGTGGCCAAGCCAATTGTACGAGCGCGTGGTCCGCGTTCTCCCACAACTCGCCGTGCCGTTGTCGCTCGATACATTCGCACGGTCGAAATGTAGGAAACGGTGTTTCGTGATTTCCCACGTTTTGTTCTGCGCGAGCTCGGTGTCACAAAAATCAGAGTCCCACCATCGCCGTTAACCAGCATCGCCGTTAGCGCGGCCTTGGGTTAGTTACGTCGGGCACTTCCCTCTGCAGGAGGAATATCCAAAAATAGTCAACAACATCGTCTGGGGACGATTTTCCAATTGCTTTTGACATTTTTGGAGTTTCTGTTTGTGGGAGTCTGTTTTATGTTTCGTCCAAAACCGTTCCTGTAGGAGGACATGCCCGAACGTACTGAAGCGCCGGAGAGGGCGATGGTGTGCCCGTTCTGCTCGAAGGGCAGTCGCGGCGGCGAGCAGCGCGGAGGCAGGCCTCAGCGCCGCGGTGAGCAGCGCAACCCTCCGAGGAGGAAAAGGTCCTTTACCTTAACTATGATGTTCCAGCCTACTTGAGCCTTGACCGCCGTAAAGAATTTCGAGCACCGAAAAATACAAAAAATACCGAAACTTGAGGATTTTCATGCGTCGGGCCCTGGAGGGCGATACTCGTTCGACACTGTTTCGACACTCGTTTCAGGATTCGCCTCGAAATTCTTGTCTCCCCAACCCAGTACGGTCGGACCGAGGTATGAGATCGATGTTGGTTCTGGGAGGGTACCCTAGTGTGCTTCGTGTTTGTCCCATGTTCTTGTGCATCCTGGGGGAGGGTGTTTTCGGTGATCTTGTGGTTTGGGGTGTGTTTTGGTCGGCGGAGGGTTGCATGTTCTTGAAGGATGAGTTTCTGTCCCAGGTCAGACCGTACACATACACACACACACCTCCCAGCAGGTGGGAGCTCTTATCGGCGGGACGTCAACTAGGCCGCCTCACCGATCCTACCGGGCTCGTCCTTGGACTGGGATCGGTGCATGCAACATCATGGCCAGGCTGACGATGTGATGCGTTCCCACAAGTCTGACACAGACACCCTGACCCCTGCCCCTGTTGCTCGCCGCCGGCATCCGCATAAGCGAGGGGGAGGACCCGAACGCCACGTGGGAGCGGCACATCATGAGCGGGGACTGCTCGAACCCAGCTGGCGAGGGCGTGCGCAAGAGGCCGAGGTGCCCAGTACCAGGGTGCAAGGATCGAAACAGAAGAACAACAAAGTGATCGTTTTTTTATTCATCGTTTTGTCGACCGGCGTGGGCCCCCACACCCCTTTCCCCCCCCCATGGAGTAGATATCGGCTGGTTTGTGGCGCCTGTTTCGAGCGGTTGGAGTCTTCCCAAGAGGCAGCACGCTTGCAAACAGTCGCACTAAGCAGAGGTCTGGAGCCAGACCCCCCCCTCCCCCCCTTCCCGCCCAATGTCGAAACGCCCAATGAAAAAACGCTCACAGATCACAACCCAGGATTTTCGAAGCCCCTGGACCCACACCCAGGCCATCACGCGACGGGAGGTGTTTGTCTTTGATGAGTTTTTCCTGGGGGCTCCCGCTGGGCCTCAGGTCATCTGTTTCTTATTCATTGTTTTGCCGATCGGCGCGGGCCCTCGCATCCCCTCCCCCCCCACCCCCATGGAGTAGATCTTGCCTGTTTTGGCGCCTGTTTCAAGCAGGTGGAGTCTCCCCCATAGGACGCACCGTTGGAAACAGTCGCATCAAGCAGAGGTCCAGAGCCAGACCCCCCCCCGTTCCGCCGGATGCCGAAACGCCGACTGGGGAAAGCGCCCGCAGGAGAAGCTGGCCCCAGGGAGTGGGTCGAGGCCCCCGGGGCTCCGCCCTGCGAAGACAGATGCTCGCCATCGCTCGGACGCGTGCATTTCTCCCTCGGCGAGGGCCCTCGAGGAGCCTCCTCGCTCATCTGGCGAAAAAACCTCGCGCGAGACCGAACAAAAAAAACACACAGGGAAATGGACGTCCGAGCGATGGCCAGTGCGTCGGGGCCCCCGGCGCGCCCCGCGCAGAGAGGGGGCGTGTCCAGCGCCGACCCACGAGGTCTCCGCTCGGAGCTCCGACAGTCTCGCCGCCCCCTCCGAGCTCGCTTCGCTTCCTCCGGGCTCGATTCGGGTCGACTTCGACGGCGACGTCCGATTCCGCCTCGATTCGACGGGAGCAAAGAGCAAGAACAAAAAGCAAGCAACACAAACAAACACGCAAACAACACAAAAATGTCACAACACCAAAAACACAACAACAACAACAACAATTCAAAAAAAACACAAACAACACACACACAAAAAAAAACACATTCAAACACACACACACACACACACACACGTGTTTGTTGTGTTTTTCCCCACAGGGATTCCGATCTGGGCTCCGAGTTCTCAACGGAGGCCTACTAGCCTGCCGATTTCCGGCGATTCGACTTCTCCCGACTCGGCTGCCGATTGCCGCCGATCCGCTTCGTTTCGATCGCCGATTCGACCTGTCGATTCGATGCTGGGCTCCGCGGCCCTCCGGCCTGCCCCACCCACGCATGGAGGCTGTCAGATGTCTAAGAAGCGCTCCGGATCCGCCTCGAATGTCAACAACAAATTGTTGGCGAATGGCGACTGCACACCGCGCCCGCAATGCCCACGGCAACTGCTGCTGATTTCTGCTGGTGCCCAGCCAGGATCCATCGCCTGGTCTTCGTTCCACACGAGGCCCCCGGAAGTCCAGAACCCTTTCCACGGGGCCGGTTTCTCATTCTTGGTCGCTGCTTGGCGGCCCCAGCAGGGCCGGTCCAGGGCCCCCCAGAGACCAAAAATAGTAAAATCCTTCCGTCTCGATGATTTTACGGTGCGAGTGGGCCTGGGATCTTCCGCGGGTCAACGTGAGGGGGGGTGGTAGGCTCAGGAGGGGCTGAATCGACCCCCGATCGCCCATGGATCGCCGATACGGGTTGGACTGCCCTGTGGGCCTGCCCAGGCGTGTGAACACAGAGCCTGGCCTCGCGAAATGCAGACTGAGGCAAACTGTTCCCAACAGTTGGGAAAGGTACCAGGCATTTCATGTGTTCGGTGGGACGTCGGGCGTTCTCGTGGTTTCGCGTAGGCTCTCAAGCGTCGGGTTGTTTTCCAGCAGCTGCGCTTCGCCCAAGGCCGTTGGAGACCCGAACTACGACCGGAAAGCCAGACATCCTCGCGTCGTGAGAAGCCGCGATCGGAGTTCCTGGTTGCCGAAGTCGGGCTCCATGCGCCTTCACCGCAGCCAGCCCCCTGCCCCCCGAGCCAGTACCCCCTTATCTCAAGCGTTGGTGACGCGTCCTGACTTGCTTGTAGACCAACCGAGGAATTGTCTCAGAACTTTTGGGGGGGGCACGACATGTTGTTAGGTCGTATCCAGCTGAGACCGTATTGTTTTGCTAGGTTGGCTTGGCACCTTAATAACAGTGTTGTTGTTCGCGCGTTTGTCATGTACCAGGACAACCGTTGTTGTGGGCCTATAGTTAAGGGAACCCGGACGGTTGGTCCCTGCTCCATTATCGTCATATGTTTGTAGTATTCTCATTATTCGTATTCGTGTTAGTATTAATATTAGTTTTATCATTCCTCTTGTTCCTCTTTTCCTTCTCTTGAACAGGAGAAGCTCACGGAGACCACCAGCATCGTGTGCACGGCGTGCGGCAGCCGCACGTGCATGCGGCACCGCTACGAGGACGCCCACCCGTGCGCACGCGCGCAGCCCTCCAGGCCCGCGCCAGGGGCCTGTCCAGTCCCCTCCGTGGGGGTGACGGGTTTCGGGGGCGTAGAATCGTGCCGTGTCGACAGGCGGCGACCCCGCCAGCGACGTTCAACGTTGAACGCCAGGGGCCACCCAGAATCGTTCGATGCGGAACGATTTGGACGCTTCTGGGCCGGCCGATCGTTCAAGTTTGAACGATTTGGACGCCGAAGTCAGCGCGACACGAACCTGACGCACAGGGGTAGCACGGTCGAGGTTCGAGGTTTTCGGACGTTTGCACGTTCACCTGTCTCGGGGGCAACGTAAAAAGGAGTGGCAGGCTCGAGGTTCGAGGTTCTCGGGCCTTTGCACGTTTGCCCGCGGTTTCTCGGCGGCGTTCGAGCCTCGGGGTGCGTGGGCGGGGGGGGGGGGGGCGGTCTCGGGGGCAGCCGCCTACGGTGCTGGCAGGCTCGAGGCTCGAGGTTCTCGGACGCTGGAGCGTTCGCCCGCGGCTTCCCGGCGGCCTCCGAGCCTCGCCGAGGGCGGCTCTCCGGGAGGGCCCGCACCGTCCCGAGCGGCCGCCGGAGACCCGAGCCGCGCCCCGACAAGAAGGCCCAGAGGGACCACGGCGGGCCTCCCATGGCCGCTCCGCTGCGCCCTCCTCCCGGCATCTCGCTCGGGCGTGTGCACTCTTCCTTCGGCGAGGGCCATCGAGGAGCCCCCTCGATCATCTGTGGCGAAACAGCCACGCACGAAGCCGAACAAAAAAACACCGGGAAGGGACGTCCGAGCGATGGGCAGTCCTCCGGTCCCCATGGGAGGGCCCGGGCGGGGAGCCGCCGGTGTCTCCGCCAGCCCAGCGCCGCGAGGCTCGCGGAGCGCCGGCCCTGGACGCGTACAGTCAACCCGCATAGTAAGGATGGCAATTGTTTTTTTTTTTTTACAGCCGCAGGCGGAAGCGCCGGCGGCGAGCGGTCACGGTCGGGCTGCGGCCGCGACTACATGCGAAGGATGGCAATTGTCAGGAGGGGAAAAACACACAGACACAACTAATCGTCGATCCCCCAGAAAATATGGGACTTGGGCGGGAAGACAAAAACCCGGAGAATATGGGAAGAGATGGGGAATCATCTTCTTATTTGTGTGCATTTTTTTTGTGTGTCCTGGGGCCCGTTGAAATTGTTCAGAGGAGGAAAAGGTGCCCATACTCGCAGGCCTAGAGGTTGACACCAACACCAATTTCGGCGGTGTGCCTCCAACGAGGGGAGAAGATCCCGATCTCGGTGACGGTGGTAATATTCTGGCTTCCAAGGTGGCCGAAACATTACCACCAACACCTAAATCTAGGATCATCTTCCCCCCGTGAAGGCAACCCCCTGTGTTGGTGTTGGTGCCAATTTCCAGGCCTCCAACATACCTCTACCCTCCCCTCGTTTCCGCCTTCTTGGGGCTCCATGGAGCCTTCGTCGTCGCCCCTTGCCGGATTCGCCTTTGAACTCCTGGTCAGGGCGCACCCCGGGAGAGGTCCGGGGAACAGCGGATATCGGTGCCTTTTGGTGGTATCCCCACTTGTCCCCGAAGGTGCCCATGCATTCTTGCCTCCTCGGTCCGTCCCTGGCCGCATTCGTCGGGGGAGAAAAAGATACGGATACGTGTTGTCCCCCTTCGTTTTCGGCCTTTCCTGGTCCTCCTGGGGAATCCTCGTCGTCACCGCTGGATTCGCCTCGAAATTCTGGTCAGAACGCACCCCAGGAGAGGTCCGGGGACAACACGTATCCGTATCTTTCCGCCCCCCAACATTCGCCGGCCGCGCCCCGCTCGGGAAGCTTTGGAACGGCCTTCCAGGGCCCTTTGCATCCCGATCGCGCAGCATCTGGCGCCGCGAAAGCATTTGCACCGAATCTGTTTGACAGGTCTGTGATTTCTGGGGGCCCCTGCAGGGCTCTGGGACCGTCAAACAATTTTCAGGATTAATAGCCGTTGCATTCCTTTGTGGAGCCAAATTGTGAAACATCACGATGTCGGAATGTCTGTGGCCGCTTGCGGCCAGTTCCGCTAACTTGCCAGCGCAACGTTTCGCGTGGCGACGCTCTTCGAGAAAAACCATTGAGAAAGCCGCAACAGTTGGCAGCTCTCGTCTTCTTTTCCATTGAGGGCTCTCATGGGGCCTCTCTGATTCATGGTGGTGCGCGGCAGTTTGATTGCTGAGTGCAAGACGTGATTCTAGAGCCCGCAGGGCGCACGGTGTGCCCCAAGGGGTGATTAAGCTTGCACGCAGAGTTTGCAATACGGGGTTGGTAGGGATACTACATCGACGAGGGAAGGTACCAATCGTTGGGGCATATTTGCGCCCCTTGGGGGAGTAGGCGATCTTGGAGGCCAGCTAAGAGCCTTTTGTGGTTCTTGGGGCACGACGTGCCTGAAGGTTGTGCCAAATTGAGACTACACGGCGATGTCTCGGGGCTCGGGGGCCAGCCGAGCGCCCAACATTCACGAAGTGCGTGGGGTGTGTGCATAAGTGAGGTTCACATCGAAGTAGAAAGGCAATTCACTTGTATTTGCACATTTGTCCCAAATCATGTGTTTTGCACGTGTCCCTGGCACCTGAGAGCGCATATCACTCGTATTTTCACGTGTCCAGGTAAAGTGTAGGGCAAAGTGTAGGGCAAAAAATGCGTGAAGGGCACCCCTCCCCGAAGTGGAGAGGGGTTTGGGAAGAGGAAACAAACATCTCGCTACACCAGAGTCTACAGGACTTGTCCGATTCTGTCATACTCTGACCAGAGATTCTAGCACGGTTTTGGGCCGTTTGGAGGGCGACTTTTGGGTATGATGTTGAGTGCGAGGCATTAGGCCCCTGAGGGCCGCCAGCAGAACCTCGGTGCTGCTGGATGTGCTTGCCAAGACAAAGGGTCCCGGACATCCGACGTCCTGACTTATTCACAACGTGGTTCCTCAGAACGTTCTTTGTTAACAACGTGGCTCCTCAGAGCGATGACGTTTTCACAACGTTGCTCCCCAGAGTCTGAAGTTTGATCACAGCGTGGCTCCTCAGAACTCTGGGCCCCTTCCTGGGGACAGGCTTTTATCACGAGCCGCTTTGTTGGCGGCCCCCGTGGCCCCAGCGAGGGCCCCACCAGGAGGCCGGGAGTCGCCAGTAGCTCCCTGCCGTGCAGACTCTTTCCTTGAGACCCGGCGCTGCGAAACAGATGCAACCTCGTGACAAAGTGCGAGCCCAGCCATCCGAAACCCCAGCCGGATGGGCCCGCTTCGGGCCCAGTCGGGGCTCAGCCAGGGCGCGCGATGTTGCTGGACCCTGCAGGGCCAGGGTCGCATCGACTAGGACCTTTCGTGTTGACCCGGGTTTGGGCGCATGATTTTGCAGGATGTTGCAGGCTTCTCCAAGGCCCAACTTGCCCGGGTCTGGATTGACTCGGCCCGAGGCCGAACCAAATAGAAAAAACACGCCCCGCGTGCCACAAGAGTGCCCACGCCAGGATCTCCGGGAAGTCCCCCAAAAGCCGCGCGCGCCGGCCGTGGCCGCGAGGGCGCTCCGGGGCAGCGCGCATGTCGCGGGCGGGAAGGCTCTCGGGGAGCATGCCTCGACCCCCCCCATGCAAGTCGCCTGCAGCGGAGGCCCGCGTCGAGAAGTAAGTCGGGCCTGTTCCTCTGCAGGAGGAATGTTCGAGCATAGTCAAAACATAGTCGGGAGACGATTTTGTTGCAAGCATGTTTGGATCATGCTCCATTTTTCGGCCCAAATCCGCGTGCAAGGGGGCAGGCCCGACTTGAGCCAAAAGGCGCCCGGCTTGCCTCCAGGGTGCCCTGGGTTCCCCTGGCGTCGATGGTGCTCTGCGATGAGAAGCGCGGCGCTCCCACGCCAACAAAAATCAATGGACGTCCTGGGGTCTCAGGGTTGGGTCTCTTGTGGGAGGCTTCTTGCGGTGGGGCTCCTGTTGCAATCGTCGCCGATGTGGGGGTCCGGTGGCCCCACCACGCCCAAGGACGCGCGCATGCGCCATCGGGAGCCCATCGCCCACCCGGTGGCGACGCATCGCCGATGCAGCATACATTAGTGAGGGGGCCGTCTACAGGAAGGGGGGGCCACCCCAAAACGCTAACAACCAGGCCGGGGGGCACAACTAAAATGTAATATTCAAAATTACGTTCTATCCGAAGGCATGGTTTGGAAAATCCAGAATTATGGTTTGTTGTTGTTTTTGCCGTGAAGGGCTGTGTGTGCTTGAATTCAGAAATCGTGATTTTATTGTGGGAAGGCTTCGCCTCTTTCGCCCTTCTGGAAGTGTTGTTGCACGATGAACGCCACGTGCGAAACATGTTTGTGGGGAGTTGCGTGTGTAGTTTCATTCGCGGTTGATCGCGTAGTTGGTTTCGTTGCTGCTCGCATCCGTCACGGTCCACCCAGCAAGAGCACCCAGGCGAAATGTCTTGATCAGGGAAGCGCGGGAACATTCCGTGTAACGAAGAGAAATTGATGGGGAAGCCGTCAAGCTGAATTTCGCGGGTCAGCCCTGGCACGCCCGGGAGTGAATGCACATTCGCGGCCCTTGCCGAAACAGGCAGGGCGCAGAAGAATGATGAGGAGGCGGGGGAGGGGGAGGTGGGGGGAGGAACGCGAGGAGGACGAGGACTGAAAGGAAGAAGGGAGGAGCGACGGGAGTAGCAGGAGGGGGGCGAGCAGAAGTATGATGACATTAACTGCGCAAGCTTTGGGGGGGGGAGGAGGACGAGGAGGAGGAAGAGGGGGGGCAGGGGGATGAGGAGGAGGAGGAGGAAAGGAGGAGGAGGAGGAGGATGAGGAGGAGGAGGAGAGGGAGGAGAATTGGGCGAGGAGGAGGAGGAGGAGGAGGAGGAGGACGACGACGACGAGCGTACAACGCGCCCACGCGCGTGCGCGCGAGGTGTGAATTCTGCATTGTTCTCAGCGGTCTGGCAACGAAGGGGCCTGGAAACGAAGGGGTTCTTGGGCGGTGACCGAATGGGTGTTCCAGGTAGCGCAGGGCTGCAG